GAGTAACCCCTCCCGGCACTGGGAACACGCGGGAACGCGGCCACGCCGGAGTAACCCCTCCCGGCACTGGGAACACGCGGGAACGCGGCCACGCCGGAGTAACCCCTCCCGGCACTGGGCACACGCGGGAACGCGGCCACGCCGGAGTAACCCCTCCCGGCACTGGGCACACGCGGGAACGCGGTCACGCCGGAGTAACCCCTCCCGGCACGGTGCTCGCACATGATTTTTTGAGAGAATGCTTCTCTGTCCTGTCAAAAAGGTCAACACCCAGGAAATACATCAGGGAAATATTGTGTATAGATGCCAAAATCAGTTATTTCATCCAAAAGTAAGACTGAAATGCTCCCCCAGTGGACTGTAGGAGCATTACATCAGCATAATTATTACTTCATGTCCTTCCATAACAGGTGAGGAAAGACATTCTTGACAACATTGTCCCTGACCTTCCATACAGATGGTTCAGACGCCTTGCACAGCAAAAGCAGCGAGAATAAATACAGTGCGTCAGAAGCAAAGCTTAGCGTCGAGATGGTAGGAAGGGAGGGGGCGGCGCTGCCTCCAGACATTAAAGCGGGAACATCTGATTAGCCAAGAGAGAGATGCTTTCCAAAGAAGTGTCTGACAGAGGCTCTGACCAGCTGCTTTTTCAGGTGGGAGGGGGACTGCAGGGGCCTCCGTGCGATCATTTTCCCAGGATACCCGCTTTATGCCTCCGCATACTCCTACCCACGCCCATTTTCCCAGGATACCCGCTTTATGCCTCCGCATACTCGTACCCACGCCCATTTTCCCAGGATACCCGCTTTATGCCTCCGCATACTCGTACCCACGCCCATTTTCCCAGGATACCCGCTTTATGCCTCCGCATACTCGTACCCACGCCCATTTTCCCAGGATACCCGCTTTATGCCTCCGCATACTCGTACTCATCGCATACTCGTACCCGCGCCTGTTTATATATTTATTTATTTATTGTGCAGAAACATCATCTCGGGACTTAAGCCAGAGTGAAGTGTTTAGCCCACACGTCATGCACACGTCACGGGAAGACATCAGCTTCTGAAGCTTGGGTGAAGAGAGAAAACAGCAAGGTGCCCTCCGTACATGTTCAGCTGAGGGGGGAGCTCCCAAACACGCACAAAGAGGGGGGAGCGAGAGCAGGCATGTGAGCGTGGCCTGTGGAGCCTCTGCGCCCTGAGTAAAAGATAAATTTGAGGGCTCCTATTTTTGGAGAAAGATTTCAGACTGGGCACATGGTGACACTGCAGACGGAGCGCAGGGTCCCAACATGCAGTGAGGCGGCAGCGAGATCTGTGCGCGATATCGCCTCCAAACTCACCTTCAGCGCCATGGATCTTTTAAGAAGCAGCTTCTCAATGTTCCCGGCCGCACTGGCCACCAGCTCAGCTGCATTATTTGACTTGACGCTGAATTTATCCATGTGATCTTTAAATATCTGCAAAAAACACAAAAGGTCACATTACATTAGTGAGGCACAAAGCTTGCCACAGCTCTAACCGTGAGAGCTTGTTTTAGACACTGCCATCTAGTGGCTGTGAGAGGTCCTGCTCAGACCACCTGTGTCCTATGGGACAGGAGCTCAAGATTTAATTAGGAGCTGACATAATGTTAGATAGTAGATTGAAGTTACAACAAGTATCAAAAATAGCACATTGAATGAGAACTAATAAAAAATCTTAAAGTAGCAGATCTGAAAGGTTTTACAGATGTCAGTTCAGTGAAGGACATGTCTCCTGTCAATCTGGGGATTTGACCCAGCGACCATCCAATCACAGACACAGTGGTCTAACCCATTAAGCCCTCAGGTTATTACATAGTAATGAAGGATAATCTGATTTATTGGAGAAAAGGCTCAATATTCGATAAGTACAAATAAAATACAACATGGAAAACACAACAAAAATGATTAAATCGGGATGAATGTATACGTGAGTATCACATGTTACATTCCTCACAGCTCACCTCCTTGAAGGTCTCCAGTCCGCTGGCATCCTCAACCAGAGTCAGCAGGTCACGCTGCATTTGTTCAACCCACTCCTGGATACTGGGAGGTGTGAAGCAGAGAGATGGAGAGTGTTAGGGACCAGTGAGGTTATCTGCACGTCATACACACACTGCAGGTACCTCTCAGCACCATCCAAGTAAACTGACCTCAAAGGACGAGACAGGCCCCCATTGCATGAAATGCCCCTGTTATTACCACACAGGAATAATCACTCCCAGAGACAATGAGTCACACAGGAAAAGAGAATCTTGGGATGTACTGGTCAGATACACACACACACACACACACACACAGACCTGTTCCTTTGTGGGGATTCTCATTTCTATGGGAGAAACCCTAATCCCAACAATTTGGTCCCCATAATGTAATGTATACATGACTCACACACACACAGCACAGCACACACAACATCATCCGAGGCCCCGTCCTGAGGCTGACATCCTCCGCAGGCTTTCACTTCAACCCACAGTGAATTACAGACATTTGTTCCATTATCCGCCTGTAAGACCCGCACAATCCAATTAGTGCTCAGTGCAGATCCACTGCAGTTACTCCCATAATAGAATCAGAAATCCGAGCATCTTCTCTGTAGGATACCATTAATTCTATCAGTCATTTAATAATTAACCCAAACAACAAATATATTCCACAGCAAAACTGATTACATGACTGGCCACCCTAAACCAGTGGTTCACAATGAGAGGAAAAGAAGGGTGGGGTTCCTCAGTTTGGCTGCTCAGTCATCATCAGAGCTCCTCTCCCATCATGCCAAGAGGACATTAGATGAGCACATGCCTGTTTGGACACTAAGCTTGACCAGAAACATATCAGCCCCGAGCTCTGACCAGGAGGTCCTCAGCATCTCGCCCAGCCTGTTTCTTCCTGAGGTCCCACTCAAAAAGTCACTTCTTGGTTACTGCGCACCAAAAAGCGGAGGTCTTTCCCCAAGAGATCACTCACTCCATCCATCCATCCATCCATCCATCACACCAGCCCGTATGCCTCCCAGACCAGCGTGAGGCCACCCGTGAGTGTGGGGGAGCACCAGGAATACAGAGAACATGGAGGTGTTTCTTCTCCGCTTCACAGAGTTTCATTCAGGAATGTCAAATAAACACTTATACATCAGGAGTCCTGGTTTATTTCATTTCTAAAATTAATTGGTTAGATTTTATTAACAAGCAGTCAGTGGGTAAACAGAGCAACATAATTACTCACTCCTGATCCCAAACTGGCAAATAAAAAATGCTGAAAATTGTAGCCAGGAGATGACAACCACAAATTCACAGAATGAAAAATAATATAGCCGTGAATATGACACACTTATTAAAATCGAAAAAAGAGTGGAGATGGGGCATTAGGCTGGTAGGCTGCAGGAAAGCTCTCCAGATGTTAGCTGCTGCGTGGCAGTGGAGCTGCTAGACCTCAGTGTGAGAACAGTGTGAGACCAGTGTGACCTCAGTATGAAATCAGTGCAAAATAAGTACCACCTCACTGCAACACCAGTGCGATCTTAGTGCAAGACCAGTGTGACTTCAGGGCAAGATCATAGCACCTCACTGTAAAACCAGTGCAACCTCAGTGGAAGACCAGTGCAGCCTGAGCACAGTGCAGGACTCCAGTGGATTGCAGGTTTCCCTGCCACGGGGCTGCAGCCATCTCAGCCACCCTGAAGTTGCCATGGGTGCCCACATGGGGATGCCACCCCCAGCCTGCCATTTTTCACACGTAAATCAGAAGAACACAGTGCACATTACCAATCTGAATTATTAATAAAACAGGACTGACTGTGCAAGATCAACAACCATGACTACACCCCCCCACCAGGAAGAAATGTGGCTTAGAATCACCCCGACTTCATGCTCTTTTTTTTTTTCTACCAGAAGACAACTGCTGTGAAAAACCACCATCGCTCAGGCTAAATGCAGACACCATATTTATCAGCTGGTCCGACGGCACTGGCAGAACACACTGGAAGCTTTTGCAGAAGCAGACGCCCCCGCCCCCACCCCCTCACCCCAGGTGAGGTAACTCAACCCGGCCACACAGAGGCTATATATTTAGGCACATGGCAGCTGTTGATGGCACTCAGCACAGGGTCACAGTGATATCGGCACTCAGCAGTTAGTCTGAAATGCACTCTGCAATCAATCTGTACTCTATACTCAATCTGTACTTCACTCTTTACTCAAGTGTCAGTCACTCTGTACTCAGTGATCAGTTTGAAATCCACTCTGTTCTCATTCTGCAATGCACTCTGTACTCTGTAAACAGGATGAAATGCACTCTCCACTCAGTACTCATTCTGCAATGCACTCTGTACCCTGTAAACAGGATGAAATGCACTCTCCACTCAGTACTCATTCTGCAATGCACTCTGTACTCTACTCTCAGTCTGCAGAACACTCTGTACTTGGGACTCTGTAGCTACAAATGGCAGAAGTGATACTCGTGGGGAATATTTATTTTCACCTACCCCATCATGCTCTACGTGAGACACACAAAGCATGTAATTTGTGTGAGTAAGTTTGGGGGTCACAGCACGGGGGCCCTGGAGCTGGCGGGAAAGGGCCACACTAAACCGTGGGTACAGTGTGTAATTATATTATCAGGTCTACTGTTACTCAGAAAAGAAAACGTTACAGCATGATTTTTTAAACATGGACAAATAAGCACAGAAAAATCATCACCAGCTGTCAAATGTTAGCCAATGAAAACAAATGCTAGATCACAGCTAAGATACGGCCACAGAATTGGAGGCGCGGTTTACTGGAACTGTAACGGAAATCACACACACACCCTCCCAGAAAGCTCCCCCCGTTACGGCACAGAGAGACCGTGGGCACCAGGACTACTACTTAACTCATCTGATCAATTTAACAGAAAATGTAAAATATATTATTTATTTAAAGCAAAGAAACCTACAGGAGTTATCTGTCTGCGTTTACATAGCGACGGGGGCTATTTAGGTTTTCCTCTTCTCCAGATGCTGCTGGGTGCTGCAATCCCCTGAGGAACGTCTGAGAGGCTGGTCGTCCCGCCGCACCGAGAGTCTGTCATGGTGGGGAGCAGGCAGGCAGCGCCAGTGGGGGCCGCTTCATAGAGAGAGGAACCATGCTGGCCACATTTGCCAGTAACATGTTTTAAATATCTGACCCAACAAGGATCAATTAAAGAGGAGCAGCTCTGTGAACATTTATCAGGCCCTAGAAACACTGCGGTCAAAGACCCGTCGGGTAGCGAACCACTCAGAGACACATTAAGTAACATCAAACCACATGGCAGCTACGTAATGGAGTACGTCTGCTTCACACCCTCGACGTTAACAAGCCAGCCTATGGATTACCAGCCCGAGGGGGCCCACCCCCCGAAATGACCAGCTACCAGCATAGAAAAATGAGCGGATCTCCCATAGTCCACTGGGGCGCCTCATCCAAATGACTGAGACCACACAGAAGTGGATCTCCCATAGTCCACCGGGGCGCCTCATCCAAATGACTGAGACCACACAGAAGTGGATCTCCCATAGTCCACCGGGGCGCCTCATCCAAATGACTGAGACCACACAGAAGTGGATCTCCCATAGTCCACTGGGGCGGCTCATCCAAAAGCACTGGGGCACCTCATTCAAATGAGTGAGAAGCTGAAAGCATCCAGCACTATAAGAGCCATTATTAATCTGAAGGTGCTAAAAATGAGTCAGGAAGATGCATCTTCACCAAACTAAAAAAAACAAACTTAATGTGACTCTTGTAGTATGTGGTCAGATTCGGTTGACATGAGTGAGTAAACGCAAAGACAGGTGACTACAGGGCTTTTGTGATCACACCAGTAAGTCCTGTGACAGCAGAGAGCAGCTTGACACCAGCAACAGATAATCAATGAGCAAGCTGTCGTCTCACTGCTCCCACAACCCAGCGCTGGGCAGACAAACCTGATAATGTATTCAGCAAATTATATCATTCAATCGCTGAACACAGAGGCATCTAACACGTGTTAGTTACCATCCAGAAAGCAGCCAGAAAACAAGTAGCTACTGGATACCAGTAACATAACCGAGTTCCTCAGCTTTCACCAAAAGGCCACATCATCACAGACAACCGGCATAGCCAAATGTACGTCTAATTTATTAAGCAGTTATATCCAAAGTGACATACGACTGATGAAGGAGGGTGAGACCTGTAGCAGTGGGAATTAAGGGGCTTACTCTGGGCCCAGCAGTGTCACGCAGCCACCGAGTGTTGAGCTGGATCCACGCCAATGCCGTTCCTGCTCCCTTCTGGGGATGGATGTGGCAGGAAACACAGCGAACTGCCTGCTGGAATCACCGTGACAACAGGAGAAAGCAACCTGGCAACGGGGCAGGTACTGGACAGCTAAGATGCTATAGGCCTTATGAATGTGGAAATAAAACCATTTTAGAGAAAGAGCCTCCGAAAAGTCTCAACCCCCTCAGACCTGGGGCTTCCAGATGGATGGATGGATAACTTCACAAATCTATCTTTTAATGCACATTGAATTGAGATGTTAGATACCCCCCCCCACACCCCACCCCACCATTTTACAGTTCTCACAGTGAACCCCCAAACCAAAGTTCTTGCGCAGAGAAAACTCAAAGAGCTACACAACCACGACGAAAACCACCAAACCCCCCCCTCCCCCAGGACAGCATAGATGCACAGATCCCTCCAAGTGATGAGGCCCTTATGAAAACAAGGACCAGCACCCCCCACCCAGTTTGGTGTCTTTCTAGTGCATTAGTTGGATTCACGGGGCCCATATCTGAATGAATGACTCTTTACAAAACCTGGGAAGATGTTCCAGTGAGACCAATGTGCCTAAAGTAGATTTCAGGTGGTAGCCATTATGTCATTAATGGATCATCTGAAACGCCACAGCGCTGCAGCACATCCATTTGCGGGCATGTGCTATTCAAAGCCAAGTCCTTTCTCTGCCTCCTTAAAGCAGCGCCCATCTCTCTCTGCCTCCTTAAAGCAGCGCCCATCTCTCTCTGCCTCCTTAAAGCAACGCCCATCTCTCTCTGCTTCCTTAAAGCAGAGCCCATCTCTCTATGCCTCCTTAAAGCAGCGCCCATCTCTCTCTGCCTCCTTAAAGCAGCGCCCATCTCTCTCTGCCTCCTTAAAGCAGCGCCCATCTCTCTCTGCCTCCTTAAAGCAGCGCCCATATCTCTCTGCCGCCTTAAAGCAGCGTCCATATCTCTCTGCCGCCTTAAAGCAGCGCCCATATCTCTCTGCCGCCTTAAATCTGTGCCCATCTCTCTCTGCCTCCTTAAATGAGCGCCCATCTCTCTTTGCCTCCTTAAAGGAGCGCCCATCTCTCTCTGCCTCCTTAAAGGAGTGCCCATCTCTCTCTGCCTCCTTAAAGGAGCGCCCATCTCTCTCTGTCTCCTTAAAGCAGTGCCCATCTCTCTCTGCCTCCTTAAAGCAGCGCCCATCTCTCTCTGCCTCCTTAAAGCAGCGCTCATCTCTCTCTGCCTCCTTAAAGCAGCGCCCATCTCTCTTTAAAGGACCACCCATCTCGCTCTGCCTCTTTAAAAAAAGTGCTCCTCTTTCTCTCTGCTTCTTTAAAGGAGTCCCCATCTCTCTACCTCTTTAATGGTGCACCCCTCTCTCTGCCTTAACACATTTCTCAGCATGAAGGTTTGCGTCAGCATCCACTCCCGCACTGCAAAACAAGCCCGGCACCTTAAATCTGCCTCACACCCAGTGAGCTGCTATATCCTCTTATTAAGATGAGGTTACGTTATGTTGTTCTTATACTATGCCCTTATTGGACAGAATATAACTTATACTTTACAATCTCCCCAAAAAGACAGCCCTTTGAGAAGCTGCCCATGGTCCTATGCTGGAGAACACCCAGATGGTGGCGCCGTTTCCTGCTTCCTATTCTTAACACACAACAACAAACTAGGGAGTCAACAAATAAACGCTCCCCAAGCACAGCCTCTCAGGAGAAACACGATGGAGGTGGAGGGTGAATTTGCACCCGCGGCTGCTACATGCTAAGTGGAATAAACACACTGGTTGCAGATGTGTGAGAAGTAGATGGGAGGGGGGGGGCAGTCATCTATATGTAAGAATTGCTGAGCTGGATGGGGGGTGGGTAGGACCCCAGCCAGAGCACGCCTGCCTGTTGGCTATATATAGCAGCCCCCACACCTGTCATGCTGGGGGGGGGGGGGCAGATGCCAGCCCCGCCTGACCCCACATGCCAAGCTCATACAGGCCGTACAGGAATACCTCCCCAGTGGCTACTCTGCAATGGGAATTACACCCCCCTCCCCCAATGTCCCAGTACTACACCCATCAGAAGATGAACTCAGCCTGTGAGTGCAGCACAGTCAGAGGCAAAATCCATAAAACCTACAGCAGACACACAGGCAGATACACAGAGATAAACACAGACAGACAGACGGACACACGCAGAGATAAACACAGACAGACAGACGGACACACGCAGAGATAAACACAGACACCTGTGGACACACAAATGGACACTGATAAACACACACGCAGACTCTCCACACACACACACACACACACACACACACACATATGCCTGCGCAGAATGATTTGGTTGTCAACTGACTGGGTCAAACACTTAGGCTACAGTGTGAATCTGGGTTATTTATGTCATTAAAGAGCTGCAAGGTCTGTTCCACTTAGAACACAGGATTGGGTCAACTAGTGCTTCCACAACCGGCCACTACATCAGCGTCTCCTTCCGCCAGCTGGCTACCAGACAGCATCACATGACCTGCTCGACAAGGGCTTCCCACAAGGCATTCTGGGTAGCACAGTTCTGAAACACAGACACAACTAGCGACAAAAAATAGTATGAAAATGAATTTAAGGGTTAAGAGAAGATGTTTTAAATGTAAATGTTTAAAGCATGAACCAGATGTGTGTGACATAATGCTTAGATTTTGTTCCGGAAAATAGTCAGGTGTTAGACAATGAAAGAGTACTGGAACCGACTGATTGACTCCTGTGCACATATGCAGCCTGAAGCCGTGCCCACGAGCACAGGGCAGAACACAGTGCCTCTGTGATGGGGGGGCACGCACACACACGTGACCACATGATCTCACACACACACACACACACGTCTGTATTCATATCTCTGTGGGGACTTTCCATTCATTTTGATGGGCATACCCCTAATCCCAACAATGAGAACCTTAACCCCTACCCAGCCCTAACCTTAATCACAAGTAATCAAACAAAATACAAGGACTTTTGGCATTTCAAAATTTTTTGATTGCAGATTTTTATTAAATTGAGTTTCGCCTTGTGGGGACCAAAAAAAAGGTCCCCATAACATCAAAATAACAAGTTTTTAAGTTGTGGGTACAACGAAATATATACATGACTCTCACACAGACACTCAACCCCGACACACAGACACACACACAGACCTCCAGAAGAGCAGGAAGGGGCAGCACGCACACAGACCTCCAGAAGAGCAGGAAGGGGCAGCACGCACACAGACCTCCAGAAGAGCAGGAAGGGGCAGCACGCACACAGAGGGTCGGGGTCACACTCAGGTGGCTTATGCCAGCTGCTCGTCACTTACAGCCCCATCCTGTCATCATTTGCTGGATTTAATCTTAAAGATCGAGACACATAACAGAGGCATAAGCTTCTCCTGTGTTCCAGTCACTAAAACATGAAGTCCCCATAAAAAAGAGCTTATATTCAGGACTGAAAGAGGCCAGCACCCACCAGACCCCCTGGGGCCCCCATCAGAACCCAGGGGCCCAGCAGCCTTAGCTCGGGGCCCGACTATCAGACACAGCACTTCAAATGTGACAACTTCACACCACATTAGGTCATAATGACCCCCCACCTGTGGGTGCCTGTTTTACCCACAATACACAATGTGACTTTTTTGAAAACAACGTTTTAAACAATTATTTAATGAATTAATTAAATAAACAAACTTTTAAACAATCTCGATCATTCTGCATTAAGGATCAGAAGGACGTGAGTAGTAGGTGCGGCAAATGCGGTGGGGGCGGGGGCTTTACACCCGTGCATGTATAAATACATATTATTTATTTGAATAACAGCAGCAGGTGCTTTCCCTGATCCAGAGCTGACTTTGCTCCTGTATAAGTAACATTAAATATGTTACACTGAATACTTTCATTCTCAGTACAGTGTAAATCCTTTTAGAGGGAACACAAGCTGTACAGCACAATCCTGTCTGAGGTTGTCCAATATATAAGTGATATATATAATTCTGCTACCAACAGCATGATTCAGATTAGACCGATGTCCATGTTTCTATTTTAATAAATACGCTTTAAATTAGAGTCTTTCAAGGAGCGCACTGAGGAATGTTTATAAGTTTAATAATGGAAACAATCTGACAGAACATGTAGGTGCCTTCCGATCTGAATACCATTTGATGTGTTTGAGTCACATACATCGTGTAGCTATATTATATAATAAATAAATACAATAAATAAAACTTCAAGGGTTTTTTTCCATATGAACTTCATTAGATCTTTGAGTTGGATCAACTTTTGCAGCACAACGAAAACGGCAACCAGCAATTGCAAGCCGGTAGTGCAACATACATACATAAGCGTGAGATGCTTGAGTGATTAAACAAGTATGCACGTGTGATCTAAAGCTGCATACACTGCGTGATTTAAAGAGCACAAACTGGAGCCTGAGCGGCCGTCATTATAACCTCCATCCCTAACCCGGCTGGTTAAGCTACACTCGGCCGGCATCACTTACACAGGCTGCCCGGGGAAGTTCACAGACAGGACAGAGGCGGAGAACAGGCAAAGCAGCAGCAGCGCCGCAGGTGTCCGGAGCGGCTTCATGGTTCAGCGGCTCCTCGGCGGCGGGATCGCGCTCCGGGCTCCTCCACTGGCTCCTCCAAGGGCTGCCGGCCAATTGGCTCCGGGTCTCTGTGTTTTAGGCTGCTCTGTGTTAACGCTCGGCTAAATGTAGGGATCTGCGGAGAAGCGCCGATCTGCGCCGTAATTCCTCCTCCGCCCTTCCTCCCTCCCTCCCCCGGCCGTTTAAAGTCTGGGGGGCTCCGCCTGTGACGGAGCGCTTCTCCGCCCCCAGTGATCGGCAGCCGCCTTCCTTACATGGGAGAGAGACGCGCCGTGAGCTGGCAGTCGGCGGCCCCCGCCCGCCTGCGCGGTCCCCGCGCCGGAGTACCGTGCGAAGTTCACCGGCGCTCTGTCTCCGCACACACAGCATTTTTTATAAAATTTCACTGACATCATTTTGAAAGAAATTTGAAATTGTTTTTACTCGATCTTTTTTTGCTGAATTTCTTACCTGAGTTTTACGTTCATGTCTCAATATGTTATGTTTAAATATCTTTCATATTTAAATTTAATTTATTACTGTCCCCGCACTGTGACCAAAGAAATGGCGATTATTTCAGAGTGACGCACGCATCCTATAGCTGAGGATGACAGTAAAGATTTTATTCTACTGTAAATGCTTCCTGATTTCTCTTTAGATGGCGTATGAATTATTCAAAGGCTAACAGGGGCGACTGGTAGGCGGGGCAACCAGGCCAGCTGTGCCAGATCCCGGGCCTCCAGCGATGTCGAGGGCCCGGCCTCTGCCAGCTAATGTTAAATATACGTAAAACACTGACCTGTTTTTGAGTACCGATATCACAGACGGTGCATAGTGTCACGAACATGCTACATTTATATCTCTCATTTTTATGTGTACAATCTCATTATGATGGGAGTCAATGCAAAAAATATTTGGTACAATACTTGAAACAATTTTGAAATGTAATAGTTTGTACTGTGTTGTAAACAAACTCTGTTGTCAAGGCAGGTATTTCACAAAAAAAATAGCACGTTTGTGGAATTGCAGCTTAACTGCTGCAGTGCATGATGGGAACGGCGTTTGAAGGCTACTTAATTATCTGCGACTGGCGTATGCAGGCCCTAGATGTGCATTTGGATGGGGGGGTGTGGTCCATTTTTGCCCCAGGGCCCAGTGTACAGCTGTTCCCCCACTGAATGCTACACGTAGGTCATGGCCAGTTCAGTGGTTTATTATAGGTCTATTAAATGAATCAAGGCTCATCAATGGCTTACGCTTCTTATATCAGGCCCCAGAGTGCCATGCCGAGTGCGGAGAGGACAACCCAAAATGCAGCTTTGTGCAAGTTAACCCCTATAGGGGACTTTGTTAAGGTGAACACTGAGGCGCATACAAGCAACAATGGGGAATACAAGACTGGGAGGCACTAAAACACTAACTAACCAGGAAAACACAGGAAACAGCTGAGAGTGAGTCAGGACAGGACAAAATACCAGACAGGCAGCCAGAAGCCGTCTGGGCAACGGCAACAGGCAGGCAAGGAGGAGCAGAATTAACTGTCGGCAACTGCGGGGCCGGAACAGGAGCAGGCTTAACTGTCGGCAACTGCGGGGCCGGAACAGGAGCAGGCTTAACTGTCGGCAACTGCGGGGCCGGAACAGGAGCAGGCTTAACTGTCTCCAACTGCGGGGCCGGAGCAGGAGCAGGCTTAACTGTTGCTAACTGCGGGGCCGGAGCAGGAGCAGGCTTAACTGTTGCTAACTGCAGGGCCGGAGCAAGTGTGACTACTGGCAACTGCGGGGCAAGACACAGTGCAATATTTAATGAAATAATTATTAACATTTTTTGGGGGGTGGAGGGGTCCTCAAACGTTTAGCCAACGTCAGCTGTAGCCTACTTTCTTGTCAGAGTCGGCGCTGGGAGGGATAGGGACAGAACGACTGCAGGTAGGAGAAAAATGTCTGGTTTTAGAAAACCAGCATCCTTTTCATATCGCACCTGCTTCTTCCTTGCCTGATAACCACTCTTGGCTTTGCTGGGGCTGCATGTCTGCGGTTCACACCACAGGTAACGAAAAAAAAACAGAAACCTCTGCACTTAGATGCAGCTGAACACCAAATAGTGGGATGTGCATCAAACGAGAGCGATGGCATCAGTCACTAAAGCCCGTCTTACATGTGGAGTGACACAAAGCCCATCTTACATGCGGAGTGACACAAAGCCCGTCTTACATGCGGAGTGACACAAAGCCCGTCTTACATGCGGAGTGACACATCAAACGAGAGTTATGGCGTCAGTCACTACGGCCCGTCTTACATGCAAAGTGACAGAGGGTGCAGAATGACAGAGCAGGGAGTTAGCAGGAAGTTTAATTTTGTCTGCTTTTGGGTCTATTTTAACAAAAATACAAAGCATGGAAAGAACAGTAAACTTAGACTTGTTGATTATTTACAATTGAACGTTATTTATGAAGTATGTTGACAGGCAGTTCTGAGTAGTTTGGCAGTTAAAAAGTAGGACGCCTTACCACACTTCCTTTTTATAGTGTGTGTGTGTGTGCGTGTGCGTGTGTGTCTATATATATATATATATATGCGCCAAGTTAAATGTAATTTAAAAATTTATAATAAAAGTATCACTGTATATCCCCACAATCCATGTATCATTCGTTCATTTGTTTTTCTAAATAAAACTGAAAGTCAAAAAAACAAAAAAATTACAGACCTGGGCAAACAGACCTGAACGCGGATTAAATACAGGATATGACCTCAGAATAAACGCAAGACAGCTGATGCGATGGGAATTGACACGGGGTTCACGAGGTGGGCGTGGTCCAGGAGAAGGCTGGACGGAGGGACGTGACAAAAACAAACAAGAAAAAGTCATTATGCAACAGGTACAAATCAATTTGTCATTTATCTAGGGAAATAAGTATTTGATCCCCTACAAGTCAGCAAGAAATCAACACATTAACACAACACAAGTAGCACTTAGTTAAGTATTAACAGATACCAAGCCAGCATTCACATTTAATGGCATTACTTTGTTTAAAGAGTATTCTTTGGTCACTAACCTTTCTAGATCTTCAATCTTATCACCAGGAGAGACACCAGAGAGCTGTTTAAGGATGTCAGAGACAAGATTGTTGACCTTGACAAAGGTGGAATGGGCTACATGTCCATCAGCAAGCAGCTTGGTGAGAAAGTGACAACTGTTGGTTATTTACAAATGGAAGAAAGACAGAATAACTATATCTCGGGCCCCAAAGATGATTTTGTCTTGTGCGGCATCAATGATCTTAAGAACAGTGAGGGCTAACCCCAGAACTACATGGGAGAAGCTCATTAATAATCTCAAAGCAGCAGATCCCACAAAACACTGAGCAGATCTTAAATGAAGGGATTTGATAGCAACACGATGGTACAGTACAACAATGCTCATTTCATATTCTGTGACAGAGCAGCACATTATGTTTATGGCAACATTCCTCTAACATGAACCATACAGAGAGAGATGACATGATCCAGCCCGCTAACGAAAGACCCTTGAGCAGGAGAAGGACAGGTTTCATTTCTGCATCTTTTCTGGTCAAATGGCCCAGCTCTTCATTCTGGAAACAAAGCCAAAACATGCATTTACATATTGCAACAAGCACCAATGTGACTTATGTCAGATATTAATATTAGATTGGTTTATTAAACCATACAAAATATGGGATATGGATCATCACTATTGGCTAGTAGGATGTGGCAAATAAGTGGAAACAAACAGAGTTTGCAAAATTAAATTGGATTAATAACAATGAAGAATTTGAAGCCACAATTCATGTTTACGTACATAAACCAAAGACAAAGCCAGAGTACAAATAGAGAAACAGGCATGGTAATCAGCGTCTGCTCGTAGGCATTCAAAGAGCAGAGGCAAAGACGGAAAAAATTGTTAATCTAACAACAGGTATTTCCCAAGTCAGAAATAGAGAGTGGTCTAATCTGCAACCCAAACCAGGAGTAAAACCCAATGACCAGCACCAGTCCCGCAAGACAGAGTCCAAAAACCTCCCATCCGCAAACGAATACTGGAACATTTTAAACCCATCACGTTATCTGCAGCCAATTAAACAATTAAAGCGTAACAACCTAGAACCCAGTGGGGAACCTGCCACATAGATGATATACAATATAGAACTGGTGTTCTGTGTCAGTCCATAAGGGAGGGGACGCCCTCCCAGTCCAGCACAATGCATAGGGCAGGGGACACCCTGGGTGGCATACCACTGAAAGCTGGGTACATTTACCACAAATTACTTGAAATTTCATTTTTGTTGGGGAGAAAATTAAATTGGTACATGTGGATTCAGCTGAATAGGTGGTGTGGCTGATCAGGGGGGTGCGGCTGATCAGGGGGTGCGGCTGATCAGGGGTGTAGCTGATCTGGGGGTTTGGCTGATCAGGGGTGTGGCTGATCAGAGGTGTCTGATCAGGGGTGTGCGGCTGATCAGGGGGTGCGGCTGATCAGGGGTGTGGCTGATCAGAGGTGTCTGATCAGGGGTGTGGCTGATCAGAGGTGTCTGATCAGGGGTGTGGCTGAACAGGGGTGTGGCTGATCAGAGGTGTCTGATCAGGGGTGTGGGTGAACAGNTCTGATCAGGGGTGTGGGTGAACAGGGGTGTGGCTGATCAGGGGTGTGGCTGAACAGGGGTGTGGCTGATCAGAGGTGTCTGATCAGGGGTGTGGCTGAACAGGGGTGTGGCTGATCAGAGGTGTCTGATCAGGGGTGTGGCTGAACAGGGGCTTCTTGATGGCATGAACATTGGTGGGTGCACATGGGCAACCAGGTGCGGTCTCTCAGCTCAGCTGCCATTGGATTTGCTTTTCATATGTTACCTAGCAACCGTCTCTCTCCTCACAACAGCACCAGTGGATATTCGGCATGGATCTGTAGCTCGGAGACGTGGAGAATCACCGCAGAGCAAGGGATGAAATACGAAGGATGAAAGAGAGGCCTTGGCAGGAACAATGGCAGACACTTGGCTGGCCTGCTTCTATGGGTGCGCTAAGCTAACGGCTCTGGCGGCCACTCTGAGGGCTTTTGTTGGCTAACATACCATTAGCAGTTTCTCCAACAGCAAAGTATCCCAGGGAAGAGGCTCTTCCCCTTTCCAGGTGAAACACAGTGGATGGCCCAAATGTTCCGCACACTTGTGATGCACGATTTCTTACATCACTTTGGGCAAAAGCAACGTAAAAGCAAACAAGAAAAGAACTGAAGGGCCTGGAGATCATTAAATGGGACCTTGGGAGGGCTTTACACCACCCGAGCTGAGGAGGGTGTACGACGAAAAAAGGAGATTCTATCATGGACCGTAATAAAACATATCATAATTAGATAACATAGAACAAATGAATATACTGCTGACTAAGGGGACCTGTGTCACGTTTCAAATGCGATGTCACATCGAGTTGGCCAAGCGCTCACTTTTCCTGCAATCCACGGGCTGAAATTCATGACACATTGTGTTGAAGAAAACGTGCCAGGTGATACCTTGGTGACACGAGTGAGGCTGAAAGACAGCAACATAGACAGAGATGGGCAGGCCGGTGCACAGAACGTGGCACTGGATTAAATAACCATATGCTTGCTTGGTTAAAGGGGATGGATATGCTGGCAGGGCTCTTTGGAGTCCATGTCATCTGGGGTCAGAAATAACAGGGATGAAAGGTGCCCTTTAAGAAGAAGAGAATGTTACTGGGTCCCGGTGATCAAAAGGGACGTCAACACTGACCTGAGCAGGTAATGCCTCGATCCCATTTCAAACTCCAACCACTTTAGAGGAGCAAAGATCTTTGGATGAGACTGACTCCACTTCCATCCACAGGCAGTACATACCCAGGTACAAAAGAAAACAGCTGTGCTTAGATAGCAGACCACTTATTCTTCCATACTGGAGCTACATGGAGACAGCAGAAATGTCCCAGAAAATGCCAGAACTATCAGGCCCTATAAGGTCAGACGATGACATCACACCATGCTGGTAACTGACCGTGTGTGATAATCCCACTCACTGTCAAGCCTAATTTCAACCGTCACTGCAGAGAAACAGGAGTTGCTAACTGGATAGCATGATGGTTGGACAGCTGGACTTATTGAAACGTACCCCGTCACACATGGTGCCATTAGTTAAAGGAATACGAGAACTAAAGACAGCAGGATACATTTCATTCACTAGAAAGGAATGATGGTTGGTTAGCTTTTTGTTTAGACATCACACAGTAAGTAAACTCAATTTTGGGATCATTTGTGCATAGAAGGAAACTTTCTGTCTATAAACTGAGGAACTGTGCACGGTAATATAAAGCGTGGTGGGTCTGTATTTTGGAGACCAGTTTCCTCTTCAGATATATGTCACCCCCTACTTCCTGCAGATGGAACTAGCATTCTAACAGGTACATTGGAAACACGTTTGGCTCCAGAGGAAAGAGGGTCAGTGGTCAACTGATATTAAAGATGTGAGCTTAAACAACATGGTCTGCAAATAGTGACAACTACCTCCTGTGTCCTTCACAGACATTTTGCTCTCATGACTGTGTTTCCCAATTCGGCCATTTAATAAAAGATACATCATTTCAAGTGCTACAGCGCACCAAAGGATGCTCCATCATATAATCCCTTTACAGGAACGAAGTTTCATGACCAAGCTCATTTTCCCTCATTTTTCCGCTTTGTTCATCACAGCACTGAAAAATGTATTTGCACAATATATCAGCAGCCAGCTGATACATTGCAGTGTTAACTTACCCTCATGGTACCGTCACATACAGTAGCAATGCTAACTATCCTGTAGCCACACATTGTAATGTTCGTCAGTACTTTTCTAGAATATGAAGAACACACACACTAGTCATATTACACATAAGATAAAGATCTGATGAACTTTATTAATCAATGTGGATGGAAATGTCTTTGTCCAGCAGCACAGAAAGAAAAGGATAAAGTAAGTAAGAAGGCAATAAATTTGTAAGGAAAAAATTGTAATAAAATAAGCTAATATAGTAACAATAAAAATAATAAGCGAACTGTGCAAAACGACATATGGCAAATACTGTACAGACGCTCCTCTACCTATGAGCTTTCAAATTACGAACTTTCAGACATACGAACGAAGAGGACTGTAAGTCCAAATTGTGTTCTTTGGGTTCCCATTTCCTGTCCGCAACATCAATTTGTTTTCTATGCGCCAATTCCGCCTAGTACGGCTTCTGGCTGCTACTGCCGCCGCGCAGCAGCGTGGCGTGCGGACTCCCAGCATCCTAGTTCTTTGTACAAGTTGCGTAAACCCTTAAAATGATGTTGAATAACGACATACGAACATTTCAAGTTATGAACGGCCGTTCGGAACGTATCTCGTTCGCAAGTAGAGGGGCGTCTGTATAATGCTAAATGGCTTTTGTGCAAATGAGACACATACATCACATCTAACACTGGCACAGATATCCCCGACATCAAAGAGATCGGCTGACATGAAAGACGCAGAGTGTGATATTCTGGACCATGGCACCGATGCGTGCCTTTGTGGCTGGGCTGGTGTGGAGGGTAGCTCTGAACGTCAGACCACAAACATCCACAGCCTGTAAGAGGAGGGACATACCCCCCCCCCCCCAGAGTGCCGTGTGGACAGACTCGATCAGTGAGGACCGAGGCCCTGTCAGGCATGGGGTCCACACAGACCTCGGGTCACAGGTGAAGTCTAACTGCAATGAGGGAATTTGTTTTTGTTCTAATGTTGACACTTTATTCCAGCACTAGACACTCACATGGAACTCGGAGAGCATGCATTGTATTTCACTCCAATTATGACAATTTAATTACATATTTAACTATGTGTTTCAGAGTAAGTACTCACAATTACAGCAATTATGAGAATTTAATTACACATGTGGCAAGCCAGCTAATTCATTTACTATCCTGATATGACAAGTTCCTATGCCATGAACACCGGACAAATAATAATAATAATTTTGTGCTCAGCACCTGTAGCATGATATGTAACAGTTTTACAGTTACTCAGCACGGTTTATTTCCCTGGGGGGGGGGGGGGGCGGTCATGTTTTTCCATGATGGGGGAGTCCTGAACCTAAAATCTCACAAGCACCTCTGGATAGCTGGAAATGAGAGGGTCACATGACTTGCCGGCTGCCCGCTGTTACTGTGGCATCCATGCTGCCTCCACGGCAACACTTAAAGCTACGGATTCCCACAGAAGGGACAAGAAGGGGGCATCATGACTTCCCAGCATGCTTTGATGTTGACAGGTAGAAGCTATTAAAGGTTGTCCATGCCATGGACACCGAGGAGAATGTAACAGTGTGTTATGGGTGACGGCATAAGCAGCACCCTTCATTCCACTGTCTCCCTTCCCCCCAGGCATCTATCCCCTACCTAGCAACTGTGGCACAAGCATTTCATTGTGCTCCTCACAACACATGCAGCAATAAAACCTGAACGCTGACGTCGCACAGAGCAGGACAAAACACAGCAGGTGTAGCAGATGAAAGCCAGTGGTGGCACTACACTGGCACCGTGATGCACATACACAGACACAGACACACACACACAAGTTGGTCTTCCTATCTAAATGGGGACCGTCCATTCATTTCTATGGGAAAAACCCTAATCCCAATCACGGCACCCTTAACCCCTACCCAACCCTTACCTTAACCATAAGAAACCAACTAAAATACAAGACTTTTGGAATTTTTACATTTTGATTGCATTCAGTTTTTTTTTTTTTTTTTATAAAACTGAGGTTACCAAGAAGTAACCAAATATAATACAAGACTTTTTAGTTTTCTGATTGCAGTCACATTTTTTTTATAAAAATGAATTTCCCCTTAAGGTGACTGAAAAAATGCCCCCCGCAGTGTTAAAATAACAGGATTTTATCATCCAGGTGGGGGCTCCCTATTGTCCCTATGCATACACACAGACACAGGCATTTAACACTTTACTAAACCTCTCTGGGAAAAGGAACTTCCATCCCATCATTCCCAGTTTGCACTGGAACCAGCAGCCCGAGCAAGCCCAAGAGCTTTAGAAGCAGCAACCAATCAGAGCGGAGCTCATCATGGCCGACTTGGCTAAAGGCCGCAGCCTGCAAATACTCCTGGACACTAGGTAACAACAATTGGAGCAATTATTTTTGCCCAGTTATTTTGGGATTACCTAAAAAGATGTGTGAAATGGGTCCAGGAACCCAGGAGAGCAGGTAAGCTGGAAGGTCTCTTTGTTTTATAGGTGCACTGCACATCAATCTGAAGCTTAGGTAATTCTTCATGGTAACTAATTACCAAGCTAGTCCTGTGTTGCATCACACTTCAGATTATATTTATGGTACATCAATACAAACTGAGGACGGTAACATAAGACGGATACGTACGTGGCGTAAATACCGTATTCTCCAATCGCGTGCCTCCGGTACGTCCGAAAGGATAACTCCTTCTTTTCTTACCCAAGACCGCCACCTTGTGCCCATTTCAAAAGTGCAGCTTTCCACCTGAAGGCATTTTTCAGCATTCTGCAGTAGAGTCGGCTGCCAAAACCTCCGTATTTATTTCGTATGGATGTGAAGTTAAATAGCCCTTAGAGTGCTGGGTGCGATATTACACTGGTTGTCAGTCAATGTCTGGTTTAGGTCAATAGGAAGCATTCACACGATAACTGACCGAGCACAGTCTTCTCATCCATTCCAGGGTTTAACGCTCATCCCGCCGCTTAGTCAATGTGCACTTTCAGGGTTTCATTGTGGACTAAACAAAACAATGGTAAAGTAACGGAGCTGTGCATAAATAACAACACTAAATCTTTTAAATAACCGGCGAACTGCAATATGTATTTAATATATATTTATTATTTAGACTCATGGGAAACAGCTGTTTTTACAGCACGATTTGCATAAAATCTCAATACATCCTGTGGACGACCACATAACCGTGACTTCAAAGTGTCTCATAACCATTTTACATCTAGTGAAAACCCAGACAAATTTTACAGGCATGTACAGTGAGAATACTGCTTTACATACATGTACACTTTACATACATGTGGTTTTTCTCCCCATTCATTCTGTTTTCTGTTTTACATATAAGCAAAAATACTAACAAATCATCAAGGACACATGCAATATCGAGCGCGCGGACACAAGCTGATGGCATTGTCACAGTCCTGTGGCGTCGATGTCTAGGCGTTCCTGGGTTGAGATTTTACACTCATTTTAGCCAAAATGCGGGGTTATCGCTTCACTCCACGGGCGACCACGTAGATCAGTAAAAAATATTTGCTTTAAAATGAGTTTTCACATTCACATGCTCAATGGCAGACCAAATAAATAATAAAATGTCCTCTGGTATAAAAACAATGCAAGGTATTTACAAGGTTACATGTAGGAACCATTTTCCTCACAGTTATATAATTATTATTATCATTTTTTTGTTCACTAGTAAACATTGGAACAACAACAGGAATGGACGTATGGAAACGTGAGGGAACATTGGAACCGGACCAACATATTCAGCGCATATACATCTGAAACGGAACGCTTGGTGATTTTTCACATTTTCACGATCATTATCACAAACGCTTTATGGGTGATGTGGAGGGACTCGCTGCCTAATTATGTTTAGATGTATGACGAGACGAAAAGCCGCTTCCCGTGAGGTGAGCGATGTGTCTGCGAAGGAAGGATCATGCATATCACACGAGTGACTGCGTTACCTCACCAGCCGCATGGAGAAACGGAAGTGAAATGAAGAAAACGTGGGAATACAGAACGGAAAGCGCACTCCACGCACACCCAGCAAAAAGTAAAAAACGGAAATATTACAATAAGCACTTCTTTTCAAATAATATAGAACCATTTCATATATATTATTTAATGTTATATATATATATGTATGTATTTATATATACGCATGTGCTGTTTTCAGTTGTTAAGAAAAGGCATCGTTGCCATGTTGCATAGAAGGATCGCAAAAAACGCCAATAGAACCCATGGATTTGATTTTAAAATAAGATTGGCACACGCAAAATCAAACGCTCGGCCATAGGACGATTTACCACTAGCAAAATAACAAAAAAAAAACAAAACTGACGGTCACTGTCTGGAAGGTGCAGGTATCCCAGGATATATGACGGTATCGTTTCGTTTCTCGGTAACTGACAGGAAGGAAATCGTACACAGGCAAATATGTCGAGGGTCGTGTGTCGGGAGGGTTCCAGGAGCGAACACACGGGATCGAGCAGGGCGACCACCGGAGAGGACATTATTAAATAGACTTTTTTTTTTTTTTAACAGCAAGTAACAATCACGGACTATGATACAATTAACACCACCTCCTTCGAAATGTACACACATAACCGTCTACCATGGGAGCAAAACGCCTCCAGTAAGATGCAGCCCTGGGATTCCTTGGGTCAGCGCCAGCGACCTCAAGGGCTGCTAAGCAGTGTTGCCAGGTCCGGCAAAAATCTCCTGCCCAAGGTCTGCTTAAAATCCGCCCAATGGAAGCTGAAACCAGCCCAATATCTGAAATTCAAGTATACTGTGTCTCAAAGAAATAAACCAGTATTTTGCATGCTGATGACATTCAAATGTTCGACATTTTAAAACCACAGTTAAACACAATGACGTCACATAGACAAACTCTCTTTTCCCTGGGTTCCCAACTGTGGTTAGCTAACTTTCAATTTAGACTTTCAATTCGAGACTATTCCGCACACACATTTACATGTATGTGAATTAGGGAATAAGATTGCTTGGGTGTGAACCAATGCGTGAGAGTTACGCCAGACGCGTGAGAGTTGGCAGCCCTGCTTTCCGTCTGCGTCTGTCTCTGACTTTCGGTGGCTACAGTGATTCACTATTACTCAGCATTAGGAGCCACTTGCATTCATGATAATTAATTTCTGTTTCCCTTACAGTCCGCTGCCGCGGGACATTATGACAGCAGCCCAAGAACCGGCAACCCGCGACCTCCTAATATTTACCAGCAACTGTACTTTCAAAATAGCCCAAGTGGGCGGGAAAACCGCGGACCTGGCAACTCTGCCACTAAGGAAGCTCGCTGTGACGTCACGCACTACTCCTGCCCACAGCCCGCGTTTCAAAAAAAAGCTCTTTTCTGGAAAAAAGCACGCTTTTGTAGGAATAGATTAAGTTTTACTGTAGCATCTATCTATTTGGTCGACAGACAAACAGAGCAGTACCTCTCATTCAGTTCAAGGTGCAAATTATCTAAGTGTGACTCATAGTACAATAAGAAATGTAAGATTTTGTGCTTTAAATGTCACATTAAACAAAATTAGAACCAGATGATCCAATCCAACAAGACAGACCGATAGTCTGAACCAGCAAGTCAACCGTCTGTAGCCAAATAGCTAACCAACCATTACCTCTACATGTGCATTCATAATATTCTTGTTAAGTATGTGCCTATCTCAGTTAGATAACCTTCCCTGGTAATCTATCGCCTCTGTCCAGTATATAAAGTGTATGAGCCGGATTATGTCAGACGGACGAACACTAGAATGAATGGAAGGCGCTCTGTGCACAGGCCGAGCGCAGACAGTGAGGCTGGAAGCCCAATGCTGTGAGTGAGGCCAGGGGGAGCGCAATGAGAGCACACCGTGTCGTACCCGGGCACCTCGGAGCCAGATGGACGGGCACCTGCGGTCATGCCCCCTTCAGCCTCCAGCTCCTACCCGGAGCCTGGCACCTGCCCGTATGGTTTCTCGTGCATCCAAAGAAAGACTCATGGCTGGGATGAGATGTGCAGTCTGCTCTGCCTCCATCCATCTACCTCTCTTCCTCCCCCACTAACCACTATCTTTCTTGTGCCTTTGTTTACTCCACACACGCACACCAGACCAGGAAAGCTGACCGAGATCCCTGCTTCCCCATTACGGTCTGCCCCTACCACAAGGTGCCAGTGCCTCCCAGCAGCTCAGAATCCCTGTGGCTGCCCTCCCCCGGGGAACCCTGCCGTGAAGCGGCGACCCCTAGGGGTGGCTCTGGGGGGAGCTGGCCAGAAGTTTGTGCCAGCTAGCGCTCCTCTTCTTCAGGTCCACTTTGTCCAGCCAGATGTAGGCCTCTCCCACCAGAGTCTTCTTCACAAACTTACCCCCATTGGACACCAGGAAGAGCTGAAAGATAGGAGGAGGGAATAAGGCAAAGCACAGCACAGTACCACACTGCCCCCATCTGGACGGCAGTGTCTCCACCTCTGTCTTCTGGCCTCCATTCCATTCCCTTATACAGGTTTCAAATCACCAGTAACAATCCTGAATTTTACACCTGATTATTCTCAGTATTTATGCTGATGGCACTGTGGAGGTTTTCCCTGTATTCATCCATCCATCCATCCATCCCCAAAACAGGGCCATAGAGGGGGTCCACCCTAGCTGGGATGCCAGGTCATCAGGGTGCACATGCACACGTACACTCCCACATGCACTGTGTAAAAGCAGGGGCTGACACTGTACACGCTTGGCATGGTAGTACCTGGATGGAGTGGCCCGCGGGATTCAGGATGAAGCGGAATGTCTCGTTGAAGGAGGGCTCACGGTCATGCCGGCACACCCGTGTCTTCTTCTTGATCACCTTCTTTTGTGTGGCCACATTGACCACATACAGCTTCACATACAGATCTGTCTCAGGAGAACCATTGAAAGATAGTGAGACACCTCTGTTCTGACAGACAGGCCCAAAAGAGCCAGGAGGACAGAGCAGATAGAAAAGGCTTCAAAAGAAGCTCTTGGCTGTCTATAATGGTGTAAGAATGGCAGGGTGGAGCAGCCCACCAGCACTTGTGTGACACCGGGGGAATCTCTCGTGGGGACACATGCCTGGGAGATGGTCTGGAGACTTGAATTTGTAGGTGATGTTTCTGCATTGGAGGATCTCCACCACGAGCTGCTCGCCCTCCGTCTTTGTCTCCTTCTTCAGGGCCACCTTGATTTCCCCCATGGCCTGCGTCTTACCTGCTGACAGTGAGGCAACAGTGAGCTTACGGTGACATTCAGTGGGAACATGGGCTTCCATCCCTGATGGGGCTAGTGACCAGGCTGTTTGCGTAAGCCGTCACACGGAGAAGAACAGAACCTTCACGGAGACCTTCTACTCCAGCCTGCTGAGGCTCCTGGCTGTTGAAAAAGTTTCATGGCAGCCATGTGGAAGGTCTTAAATGCATGTTGAACTGCTTGCAAACCCTCAGAAAAGCAGCTTTAAAGTGAATCAAATTTCCTGGGAAAATCAGGTTGCTTTTTGTGGCCAGAACGTGGAAGGTTTTGGCCACCCCTCCCCCCCCCCCAGTGCAGCTAGATAAACTTGTTGGTCCTGAATTCAGTAATAACTGTCACATTTCACAGACCTAGAAAGTCTGCAAGGCATCAAACATGGATGACTCAACCTTTCACATTCATGTGACTCATTCTGGTGAACATTGCATGCGAGAAAAATGGAAATTACAGGAGCATTACTGACCCCAAGTGGCCATCTTTAAAAGGACGGCCAAATAAACCAGAGGCAAAATGATGCCACTCACAAGTGTGACCACGAACTCACCAGACCCTTGACTTTCCGTAAGTGATATGTATGACATTATTGGCCAACATTATTTTCATCACTATTATAAGGCTTAATTACACTACCACCCCGGATAATAATAATAATAATAATAATAATAATAATAATAATAATAATAATAATAATGGCTGACTATGTGAGTCCATACACTTCCATGCATGATCTGCCTCCACTTGGATTCCGGTCTGAGGTAGTGGAAAAATAAGTTGACCAGATGCTCCTACTGTAACCACACAGTGCACGCTATATCTGTCACAGAACCTAAGCTGGCTCTCTCCTGCTGCACACGAGCTTGCACTCCCACATAAGCCCCCCCTCCCCCCGATGTACACAACTTATTGTCAGGGTTCATTTGAAAAAAGCTTCTCATACAAAGGTAGTAAATTTCTGAATAACAGCACAAATAAATATAAAGCCAACACAGAGGTTATGACCCAGAGGGCATGTTTCTCACAATGTCAATATTAACATCAAATGAAGCAAAATAACATTGTAACCATCGAAGACTGAAATGGATCCTATATGAAATCTGTCAGTAGCCCACTAGCCAATTCGTGCTTGCTCCTGTCAAACACCCAAAGGGCTGAGCAGTTTGTGCTTACTCCTGTCAATCACCCTCAGGATAGTCTAATTTGTGCTCTCTCTGGCAATTGACGAAAGGACCACCCAATTCATGCTCCTTCTGTCAGTCGCACAAAGCACCGTTCAATTCGTGCTCCCTCTATCAATCACCCAAAGGACCATCCAATTTGGGGTCTCTCTGTCAATCACTCAAAGGACCAACCAATTCGTGATCCGTCTATCAATTGCCCAAAAGACCATCCAATTCGGGCTCTCTCTGTCAGTCACCCAAAAGACCATCCAATTCGGGCTCTCTCTGTCAATCACCCAAATGACAAAACAATTCGGGCTCTCTCTGTCAGTCGCACAAAGCACCATCCAATTCGGGCTCTCTCTGTCAATCGCCTAAAGTACCATCCAATTTGTGCTCCCTCTGTCAGTCACCCAAAGGACCATCCAATTCAGGTTCTCTCTGTCAATCACCCAAAAGACCATCCAATTCAGTCTCTCTCTGTCAATCGCCTAAAGGACCATCCAATTTGTGCTCCCTCTGTCAGTCACCCAAAGGACCATCCAATTCAGGCTCTCTCTGTCAATCGCCTAAAGGACCATCCAATTCAGGTTCTCTCTGTCAATCGCCTAAATGACCATCCGATTCACGCTCCCTCTGTCAATCACCCAAAAGACCATCAAATTCAGGCTCTCTCTGTCAATCACCTAAAGGACCATCCAATTTGTGCTCCCTCTGTCAGTCACCCAANATCACCCAAAAGACCATCAAATTCAGGCTCTCTCTGTCAATCACCTAAAGGACCATCCAATTTGTGCTCCCTCTGTCAGTCACCCAAAGGACCATCCAATTCAGGCTCTCTCTGTCAATCACCTAAAGGACCATCCAATTTGTGCTCCCTCTGTCAGTCACCCAAAAGACCATCCAATTCAGGCTCTCTCTGTCAATCGCCTAAAGGACCATCCAANCCATCCAATTTGTGCTCCCTCTGTCAGTCACCCAAAAGACCATCCAATTCAGGCTCTCTCTGTCAATCGCCTAAAGGACCATCCAATTTGTGCTCATGCCTGTCAATGACCCACAGGACTAACCAATTCATGCTCATGCCTACCAATCAGACATAGTACTATCTAATTCATGTTCACTCCTGTTATTAGCCCACAGGACTGTCCAATCATGGAGGCACATGGGGATAAAGGCAGAGCAAACTTCCAGAAGATGCTAACACCTCCACCTGCTTACTTACCTATGTTTTCTGCAGACCCCAGGTGGTCAAGTCCTCGCATGCCATCTGTCCCGTTTGGGATGGTCTTCCCACTGCTCAAAACAGTGGCACGTTAAAGTGCTACCATTTCAGTTACAATCACTTTCACTAACAAAGTGTCATAAAGAGAAAATGTGTTTCATCATATTACAGTCATTATCATTATGTAAGTCATCCACATGTATCTGCTTGCAGATGAACTATATTTAACTATTTAAAACTGTTCTGTGTTAAGATGAGATGAGATGAACTTTATTGATACCAGGGGGAGATTCTGGTGCAGACAGCAGAGAGGTTTCTCAAGAACAAACCAGAAAATATTTCATGTAGATGGTACCATGTGTTTCATTCTTTTTTTTTTAAACATGGAACCTAGTAACAGTCTATGTTTATGGGGGAAACCTGTCGGATGAGGCACTCACATCTGTGGTACGTGGAAGATGGCGCTGTCTATGGCATCAGCACCGTCCTCCTCCTCCAGGTTGAGATCGGTGGCAGCAAAAGTGCTCACCACGGAGGTGTTCTTCACAGTGCTGCCGGACGTCCTCTGGCTGGGCCGCACTGTATGGGAGACAGGAACCGTGTCAGGAACGATGATCGCCGAGTCGCTAAGTGACGAGGCACGTGATGAGAGACAGGAACCGTGTCAGGAACGCTGACCGCCTTGCTGCTGAGCAATGAGGCTCGTGATGGGAGACAGGTGCAGCATCAGGAGCGATGACTGCCAAGTTGCTAAGCAACAAGTCACGTGATAGGAGCCAGGCAGATCGTCAGGAGTGGTGACTGCTGAGCAACTAAGTGATGAGGCATGTGTTGGTCATGTTCATGCTAAACACTGAGCAGCCTGCAGGTTCAGTATGAATAACCAGCTCCCTGTTCCGCCTCTACTCTTAAGTTTCTAAGTGGCTTATATCACTAATGTAAATATAGCTTATTATTTGTCCATAAACCTTCAACAATCAACTATAGGACTGATAAAAATAAATGTAATTAACAAATGAGGACATACTTTTTTTTTGCTTTTAATGTGATTGAAAAACCCACAACAGACGTATTCCATAAAGGTCCTTTAAACTGGGATGCATTAGATGAATTCCTCAGTCATGCTTAATTAATTAAGAGCAGGGCCGGAATGGAAAGCCGCCTGCTCAGTGGTTTGTGGGGAGAGCATCAGAAGGGTCCGTCTACATTTAGTCACTCTGAGTTTCTGACTGTCGGTGGGCCTGCAGGTCCATCCACACTAACAGGGTCCTCTATTTCTGGCCCAGATGCATACTGGGAAATTGGATTATTTAATCTCTGAAGTGTTTTTAGACACAACAACCTAGCCGGCTCTTACTTCAGTATAGTGTGAGAATGACTGATGTTTAAAGCAGCATATGCCGGTCTTGCTGGTCCATAATGTCCAACTCCTCACCTGTCATACTATCGCTGTTTAGCAGAATGAAGTTACACTATTTTTTATTCTGTTGGGGCCGATTGATCACTCAATCAATAGAATGGATTTAATAAGACAAAGTCGTGAGCTGGACAGGATCAGCTGGCGTGCCTGACCCTCATCAGTCGTAAATACTGGGACTCCCCGCCCTGCGGAAGCACACACAGGAAGCTGTGCGAGGGGCTTGCAGGGGGGGTCGCCTACCTGGCTGGGTGCGCAGATGCTGGATGGCCGGGTCGGTGCCTGGCACGGGCTCTTCTGGAAGCGTCTGCCCCACACTGCTCTTGCTCTGGCTGCGGGATGGACCGTGGGAGCGGAGATGTCCCTCGGAGGAGGACTTTGAGCTGCCGGGGCTACTGTGGGACTTCTCAATAGTGGGGAGCTGCATGTCTGAGGGAGCAGAGCCAGAGATAATGAGCAGCATGGACCTCAAACGGACCTTACAGAGGCTTAATGTGGACTTCATGCAGGCCTCACAGGGGATTATGCAGACCTAAGTGGGCCTCAGGGGGCTTAATGCGGACCTCAATCGGGCCTCACTGGGCTTTAATGCGGACCTCAACCGGGCCACATGGGGGTTTAATGCGGACCTCAACCGGGCCACATGGGGGTTTAATGCGGACCTCAATCAGGCCTCACGGGGCTTAATGCGGACCTCAATGGGCCTCAGGGGGCTTAATGCGGACCTCAATGGGCCTCAGAGGGCTTAATGCGAAAATCAATAGGCCTCAGGGGGCTTAACATAGGCCTCAATCAGGCCTCACAGGGGCTTAATGCGGACCTCAGTGGGCCTCAAGGGGTCTAATGTGGACCTCAATGGGCCTCAGGGGGCTTAATGCGGACCTCAATGGGCCTCAGGGGGCTTAATGTGGACCTCA